TGGATGAATAATATCATAAATTGTATTCTGTATTCTATCTTCCATTCAAACCAAACCGAAAAAAGGGAAACATAAATTTTATAATTTTACTCAAAACCAAAACGAAACAATACAATTGTTTTACAAAATGTATAATATTTTCATGTTTTCCCAAAATCGATCCAAACAAACCAAACTAAACTCAAAGCAACTCCTCCACACTTGGCAAAACCGATAGGCCAGGCCGGATTGTGTGAGCCAATTTATTTTATGTGTGACCATTTTTGGCAGCAGACAATCTTGTTGCCTTTTATTAAAACATTGGAAAGTCGAGTGAGGCAATGAAGAGAAACTACAATGCACTTCCTTCACATGCACACGAGCAGCAAATGCGGGAACAATGCTGAGCCATGACATCGACATCCACATCTACATCCATCGCATGCAATTGTATCTCACATCGGGCACTAAAATAATTTATGTCTTGCAATGTAGACAGTCTTCACATGCTTAACTTTATCTCATTTTCGTTTGTTTTGTCTGTGGTTCATGTATTTTACTTCTTATTTCATAGAAACAAAATAACTAAATGTTATTTTTTATTGTAATTTCTTTGGGGGCTTCTGAGAATTAATTAAAACCGAACCATTTAATTTTTGAAATTTGTTTACAAATCGAAAAAGAAATAGTTTCAAATTTTATGAGTTGCTTTTTTAATGAGTTCAATAGTTTAAGTTTACATATTGTCTAATCAAGTTGGAGTTCTAATCAACAGAATAAAAAAATTTATTGATACTCTGAGGTATAAAGCACTTATCACTTCTATTTCATCCTACTTTCAATCGAATTTTTATTTAACTTAATTTAAATACAATTTAAAAACTTTAAAGTATCCCGCAATAATCTTTTAATTCATTGTGATTAAGGCAATATTCTTATCTTCTTGCAATCTTCAAAATTCTCGACATAATCTCATTAGCACATAAGATGGAGGATTATAAAGCTTAAATGGTCTAACGGCTGGCTTTTTACAGTAATCTTTAATGGTGAGGTTTTGTTTTAATGGCAGCTCCCATAATGAACTCAAAATTAGAAATAGAATTTAAAAGATTTATTTCATATGACAACAGAGGTCATCGATTTGCTATAGTTGACTTATATAGTTGACATAGACTTCACACAACCTTTGAAATTAGCAGAATATCGACCATTTGAAATACAAATTCAAGGAAAATCATTCGGCCCAATATTATGACAAACTGAGAAGAATGACAGTGGATCTCTCTACAATAATAATAGTATTTGCATGTGCGTGATAAGATATGTCTATATCTCAAAAAGTGCTATTCCCACTAAGAGTTACGAATTTCGCAAAATATGTTTCTGCGAGGACAGCATAAATCGCCAAGCAATTGTATTTCCAGAAAAAGAGATTACGGGCTAGACCTCCCGTTGACAATGTAATCTACAGATAATAAATACCCTGCAAAAACAGTGCCAAACAGTAACAACTTGATACAATCCTGACTATATCATTGTCGCCATGTAAAAATACCGTGACTGCGATGGATTACAAATATTTTGCGTCACCAAATGATAGGTCAGGTTAAGTTAAAGTGGCGTTCTTGACCCAATATTATGGCTTTAATTCAGATTTTTCAGATAAAACTGTATAGAACAAGAAAGAAATGTATGCTACGAAGTATATAACTGCACTAAGTAAAAGCAAATATCAAAATAATCGGAATTGGCTGTAAACCGAAAATCAGACATCGATCGGATGAACTAGGTGAAAATTGTACATTAAGCTTATTTCCAAAGATGAAGACGAAAGTACCTTGGATATTCAAACATAAAAAAACAGTTAAACGGACAATTTGTAAATACGTATTGTAAGTGATATAAAAAGTACCGACGTTTTTTAATATTGAAAATTAATTTTAATTAAGTATATATGGGCCATTATAATCTATGACCTGTTGCCGATTTTCGGGAAGCAAAAAACTGGGCCAAGTGCTTGTAGAAAGTTTTGCAGACACCGAAACAAGCAGTAATCAAACTCTGCAAGGACCGAACAATACGGTGGATGTATCAAAACTTTCTAACCAAATTTCTCTATATGTTCCCACTTATTGAAGATGTTTGCAACCTGACATTATCGTAATGGAACACAGCTCATTTTTTGTTGTCCAATTCCGCGCACCTTTCTTTGATTGCTTCGTTTAAGCAGTCGAGTTGTGAGCAGTAGAGGAGCTCATAATAGACAATTGTCTATTATGAGTCCTTCCAATCCTACCAAACATTCAATAAAACCTTATTTCGTGTCAATCCAGGCTTTAAATTCGTTTGTGGACGTTCACCGGCCTTTGATCATGACCGCTTACGTTCGATATTCTCCTATTTAACCCATTTTTATCACCCGTAAATATTCGCTTCTTATATTGTTCGACTTCGTCGTTGCGTTTCAGCAGTGTGTCACTGATGGTGATTCGATTAATCAAAAGTTTTTACGTTAATTCATGTGGAACCCACACAGCGAGGTTCTCTGTGTAGTCCGCTCTTTTTAAATGATCCCAAACTGTCACGTGGCTTATGTTGAATGCCTTCGCTAAATTCTGACAGCTTGTGTTTCGGTCTTGCTTCACCAGTTGCAAAATGTCAATGGCATGTTCCGTAACTGGCCGACTAAAGCGAGATACATCTCTGACATCGAAATTTCCGGAACGAAATCGTGCAAACCAGGCCTGAGTACAGCAGTCACTCACAGCATCCTCACCGCAAACCGCACATAATTTTTGACATGTTTTTGCAATTGAATTACTTTTTTATAATAATAAAGCATCACTTAGCCTATTTCTTTCGAAATTTTACTCATATACCAATCAATATTACTTTTTACACAGACAACGAATTACAGAATTCTCTTAAAAAAAAATTTATGGGGAAATGTCATTTTTCAAATACGTGCGCGTTTGCCACAATCAAATAAGTGTTGCAGGATATATGGGCACCAACATTATCTAGTGACTAAAAACCATCGGTACTTTCTATATCACCTAATATTTTGTCAGAGTAGCAGAATTATCCTAAAATTAACAGATGTTTTATAGGACTTGACAGGTAAAGTGCGATTTGATTTGTCATATGTATTAATGAAAAATATTAATGTCTATTAACACTATTACAAAAATGCTAGATAGATCGAGAGTAAATCTAGATTGAATCCAGATTTACCAATCGAAAAGGACATAAGTGTAGAAATGCTTTTCCAGAGTGTTTTGTTTTTTGTGATTATTTCTAATAAATAACTAATAATAAATATTATTATTATCATTATTATATTGCTTGAACATACCTCATCAGTAGCGCTCACTGCAGCAACAAATAGACCCAGTAGCATTAATGTCAGCAGTAATTTGCTGGTCACATTTGATGATTGTGTGGCTCTGCTGCTGCAAGCAGAGTTGCCATTACGTTGATGGCAGTGACGTTTGTGGTTGCCTGCTTTGTGCCTTAAAGGCGACGATAAAGCAAAGGTATCCGAAATGGGTGGCATTTTGTTGACAGTTTCTCTACTACTTTTCACGACGACGACGATGACGGTTTTTTACTTAATACTACGTAGTATTTCCTTTTTAATTCTTTATAAAAACAAATATTTTAACGCACTCTAAATAAATCACTTTTTTTGCTTTGGTTATAATTCAAACCTACAATTGAACAAAATAAATTTAATTAACAAAAAAAAATAAAAAGCACTTGTATTTCCGAATTGTACACACGACATTTGGTAAACATTTCAATTAATTAATAATTTGTTAATTACTAAATTGTACAATTTATTTTTTAAAACATTTATGAGTGTCAGCGTAATTTAAAATTAAGTGGACAATTATTGGTTTAGTGCTGCCAACTGCTTTAATTAAACAAAAAAAATTGATAAATCTTACTTTTTCCTTTTAATTTATTTTTAACTTAAGTAACTTAAATAAATTTAGTGCAAATTGAGTACAGAAAAAAATTAAAAAGGCGGTAAATATCAAAGTAAATAAAAACAGAATTAAAGGGGGGAAAACAGAACTGAGCATAGAACGCAGTTAAAAAAACAAAAGTGCAATAAAAAAATGTACATGAACAAAACTAAAAGAAAACATGGATGACAAGCAGACAGACAGCACATTAAACAACAACAATCGTGAGGATTGGAAACGCTGGCGAAAATACGCACGCAAGCACGATTCGAGCAGTAATGCAAGAGGCGAAAACATTGAGCGTAGCGCCTTATTTGTTTTTATTAAATTATTTATATATTATAAATCAAATACTGAAATTATTTCTATTAAACAATGGGGTGTTCTGCTAATTTCTTTGTTATTTATGCTTCACTTTTTTTTTTTTTTACGCCCACTATTTTTATAGCATCACGGCAGCACATATACACATGTAAATGCGGCTTTTTGCTTGTCAAAAGAATTAACTATTTTCTGTTGTTTTTTTTTTCGGGAAAATAATACTTGTTTTGAGCAGAGCAAAGAAAACATATGAAAAACTCGTTTTAAACAATTTATAATACTCAAATTTACATACGTGCACAATTATTTTGAGACAACATATATTTTTCAAATAATTATTAAATTTGTATATTTTAATATTCGGTATATTTGCACAAAAAACACATTTAGGTATTCAAATTCCGTAAAACTTCTTCCGTAGCCGCTCTATAAACACCACGCACGACCAGTGTCGCAAAAAAACTCAACTCGATTTGTTTTCCAGAATTTCATAAAGTTATAAAAACATTTTTCTTATTATGCTTTGACTTACTCATTTATTACGCTCCATTCTTGCCTCCTTTATGTTATATTTCCAGCGTGTATTGTGGATTGTGGAATTCTCCAGTATTTGACTGCATTATCGGCATTTGACAAAAGAAATTCGGAAAATTTCAATTTTTAATCTAAGCGACATAAGATTTTATGAAAAAATTGATATCCCTATAAAAAATTTTTATTTAGAATGGATAATATTGAAATTGACTACGTATACGGTTTGTTGCTGTATTAAGAAAATTAATATAACTGCATTATATATTTTTTAAGTTTTTTTGCGAAAATGAGTGTTAGAGTTCTTTTCAAAATGGTGCGGTACGCACTCACCACACGCATGAGGTAAGTTTAATTATTTCAATTTATTAACTATAAATGCTTTATGTTGGAAAATAATAAAAAATTTATTAACATCGATTTTTTGTTATATTCTACATCACCACAGTTCGGTTAATCGATCTTTAGGTTTTTAAGGAATATGTCCATCTTGTACGGTTTTATTTTGTGGTGATTAATTTTATTTTATTATTATTTTATTATTATGGATTAATGCCATATTTCCACTGTTAACTTAGTTCACTTAGCACCTTAGGTCGTGTGCGAGTTAGGCTAAGTTGCGTTCTAAATGAGGGAAATTCTAAGCTGTGTCGATAATGTAGCCTAACTCGCACACGTCCTAAGTTGCGTTCTAAATGAGGGAAATTCTAAATGAGGAAATTTGCTATTCAAAATTAGATGCCAATTACCATATAACGTAGTCTTAGGCTACATTTAATTGCTTTTTATAGAGGTCTGTTTTTTGTGTGTTCACTCTCTATTTTTATTAAAAAATCAGAATTTTTTATGTGTAAGGGTTTAGAAACAAATTTGAATAGGATTAATATAACAATTACTAGAACTATAGGGTCTACTTATATCGATTCTTCCTTTATGATAATGTGAAATTAAAACAAGCTTATTTATTTACAGTAAACGCTGCCTTAGCTATTATAATCGTTTCATGGGACCAGCTGTTGGAGGTGTAGGAAACTCACATGGCAATCGTAATGAAGACGCGTACTTTAATGAACAGAGCATCAATCAGTTTCGCAAAATCAATAAAGACGGATGCATAGTAAAGACGCCAACGGATTGGAGAGAATATGAAAGGTGCTTAAATGGTGGCAATACCTGTTCTGAATCCACCTACCGCAACAAACATAAGATACTGCAAGAGGAAGCATTCTTCCTAACCGAGGTTGGTAATAGTATTTCAAATTTAAAATATTATTTTAATAATTTATTTCAATTGTTTAAAGCAAAATGAATGCAAAAAGTCCATGACGAAGAAAAAGTTGGAGAAGTTGCGAGAATCACATTGTAATGAAGGTGATGCTTTAAGCGCCGATGATGATTCCAAAGATAAACTATCATAACCTCCATAAATGAAAACTATTAAAAATACATACAATATAATATTAAATATATGTATATGTATTAAATTTAATACACAACAAAATTAAATTTAATGCATATATATAATTTGATATAAGTATTGTGTGTTTTTAATGACGAAGAAGCGATGGGTTTGGAGTTTGTTCGTTCCAAATTATATGTCCACAAGAAAAGTTGTTGTAATATATATATTCATGAATGTATATATATATATGTATATATATATATATATATTTGATGGTCATTATACATATGAATTAAATCCAATGGAATGGAATTTAGTTGTTACAAAATTACTGTCTATTTAAAATGTCCTGTTTTTGAAATGTATTTACATATATACCATTTTTATATATGTATTAAAATTAATATGCATACGAATTAAATTCAATACATATATTTAATTGGATATGTATATCATTCGCTTTCGGTAGCTGTGATGGATTTAGATGAAATAAAAATTTTTTGTTTGGACCGTAATAAAGTGTTTCTATCTTTAAATAAAATATACAGCAAAAAAAATCTTATAAGATCTCTGATATATGTACGTTAATATCAGATATACACAGATCAGTTATATGTACGAATAAAAACAACATTAAGAAAACAGCTATGAAGTTTTTTTTATGTTTCAACGATTTCCTTAGTATTATTCATAGCATGTTTACACCGTCGCTATTTATTAATAAAATCAAATAAATTTTTTATGCTGGCAATACTTTTTTGCTTATTTGACTTATGATGACACGAATTATGTTAGCAAAATAAAAAATAAAATTAGACTGCGGAGTAATTTAAAAATAAACAAGTGAATAAGTATAGCAATTTGGAAAACAACGAAATACTTTAAAAAATTGATGAAATTGGAAAGAGAATTTTCCTTATAAAAGCTTTTGGAAAGTGGGAAATTTTTTTATTATGTTAAAACGTTTGATCACGCGCTTATATCCTAAAAATATACAGTGAGTTCATTAAGATTTTCTTGAAGATTTTGAAGATTTTTTGAAATATTACATAATAAATTATTTTTTATTTATATAATTGACCTAAATAAATATTTTAGGCATTTCAAAATGTCACAAATTGGTGAGTTAGGCAGCGGTGCTGGCAAAGGAGGTGGTGGTGGCGGTTCCATACGAGAGGCAGGCGGTTCCTTTGGTAAAATGGAAGCAGCACGTGAAGAAGAATTCTTCTACAAGCAAGTAAGTTTTTCATTTTTATACATATTTTCTGTAGACTGTAATGTAATTAATTCATATTGTTTGTCAACTAGCAAAAGGAGCAACTGAAGAACTTAAAGGATAAGCCAGCAAATACAGAGCAGTCAAAGAAGTAAAAAATATATACTGCGAAATTTAATTTACGTTGTAATAAATAAATTACTTTTGATCGAATATATTATCACATTGAAAAAAAAAATAGTTTAGAAATTATGTTATAGAAAGACTGTTATGTTATTAAATTTTTTATTATAAAAAAATTATGTTTTGTTATTAAATTTGAAATTACCAATAAAAATATATAAATTTTATTTATTTGTTTGTTTAAGTTTCTAGTAATTGGTTAGACCTGGATCACACTAGTATATGTCTAGCATGTAAATTTAATCTTTACTTGCATTTTAGTTTTAAAATGCAAAACATTCTATTTATTATTTAGCAAATTATTTCTTTTTTTTTGGTATACTTATTTAATTTTCTTTACCTGCATTCATAAAGTGAGTGTTTTTCGTCCGACACACTTCATTCACAGCACTATCAGCTAGAATAAATATGAAAATAAACAAAATAATCAAAGCAAACTAATACAAAGTGTTTACATATTTTAACAAAGTTTGTTATCAAAGCGTCAATTGGTAATGATAACAGAAGCTATTGATTAGCAGCATCATTTTAAATGTTATTGATTCACCTCTTCGCAGTCAGTGTGAAACGCTCGCTGTGTCTTAGTAGAACGTATAGTCGCTGATAACAGCTGAAAAATAAATCCAGAAAATGACAGCGAACATAGGAAACTCGTTGAAGATCGCTTTAAGAAATCGCATGAAAAATGAGGTTTTAAAATCAATGACAGTAGAATCTAGAGCACAACAGTCTGAAGCTATTAAAGAAAAGGTAAATAAAACAAATTAATGGATCTATTTTTCATATCAACTTTATTCTATTATATCTCTTTAAGGTGTTACAATCTACAGATTTTCGACATGCCCAACGTATCAGCGTTTATCTCAGTACAAGTACAGAAGTTGATACCTTGGAGTTGTTGAAGGAAATGTTTCGCCTTGACAAACACGTTTATGTGCCTACGTATAGTGGTAATAATATGGAAATGGTGCGTATCAAAAATATGGACGATTATGATAATTTACCATTAACTAAATGGAATATAAAGCAACCAGATTTTAAAGAACCACGTGAAAACGCACTAACCAATGGTAAGCAAAAAACATGGGCGATCTTTTAAGTCGTAAATAATCAAAACCATTTTTATCTAAATCGGGTGTTAATATTCTCTAAATTTTTGTTATAAAATTGAAAACAGCTTTTTATGTTCCTGATCGGAAATGTAAGACACTTGGTATTTAGAAAAAGCAAATGGCGTGGAAATGCAGGCCTGTCCGCTCGTGGATCGTGATAAAGACAAGAAACGTTATATAATAGAGTAGTACGACAACAGCAATGAGCGTTAACTCAGACGAATGCTTGAAATTATCTACGGAATAATGAGTGATGTGTCACAGTTCGCAAATCATTCAAGTGTCATCTGTAGTGCATAATATTTTCTTAGTATGCGAAAAACTATAAAGGTTATAGTTCTAGAAAACTATAAAGGCTATAGCTCTAGGAAACTGTATAGGTTATAGTTCTAGGAAACTATACAGGTTTTAGTTCTGAAAAACTACAAAGGTTAAAGTTCTAGGAAACTGTATAGGTTATGTTACTGTATAGGATATAGTTTCTAGGAAATTATATCGGTTACAGTTTTAGGAAACTATATAGGTTATAGTTTTAGGAAACTATATAGGTTATATTTCTGGAAAATTATAAAGGCTATAGTTCTAGGAAACTATATAGGTTATAATTCTAGGAAACAGAACTATATAGTTTTGGGAAACTATATAGAATTTTAAGACTTCACTACTTTAGGTATTTCAAATCCAATATTACAATTGGTTCCGTGCTTTTGGCAATCAATAATAAAGTTTTGTAATAAAGTTTTTGCATCTATTGTGCAGGATCGTCAGCAATCAGTTTCTATTAAATCAATTTTATAATGCGGTCACTAAGTTTATGTTTTTTAGATATATTGTTAAGTTCAATAAATAATTTCTGCTATATCTCAAGAGAAATGCAGAATTTGATTCGACAATAAGACTTTTCAGCATGTTTTAGTTATTCTATTATTTATTATAATTCCTTTTGAAATTGTGCTTTCATTTATGCAGTCAACTTTCATATAAAGATAATCATTATTTTCAGGTCACGGGATCGATTTGTTTCTCATGCCCGGAGTAGCATTTTCCTTAGCTGGAGGACGACTGGGTCACGGCATGGGTTATTATGATAAGTACCTAAAACGTCATTTCAATACTTATCCGCAAAAGAAAGTCACTTTAATAGCACTCGCTTTTCGAGAGCAAATTGTGGCTGAAGATGAGCTGCCACTCGATGCCCACGATGTAAAAATACACAGAATAATAACAGCTTAACACAGATATAATTTATAAACTTATGAAATAAATTTTATTTGCAATTAAAACTACAATAAAATTGAAAATAAATACTTTTAAATACATTCAAAATGTAAGAAACTGTATTTTGCTTTTACATTATTGCATTACAAAGGTTTAGTTTGTTTAGATATAATTTTTTATTTTTAAATAAAAAAGTTTAAACAGTAAAGAAATACAGCAGTTAACATTATTATTTTTAATCAATTTAATTTTTTCATTGATTACACAACTGTTTTGAGTATTGCTTAAATTATTAGTCCGTACATAATTTTATGAACTGCAAGTGCCAGGCTTAGAACATTAAATTGATCGAGATTTTGAAGCTGGATGTACCAAATACTTCACAAAGCTTCTTTATACAAATTCTAAGTTATTTGTTGCCTCTTAGCTAGAAAAGTACACAACAATAATTATAATAGTTAAACGCTCTCCTTGACCGCGTTTATTTGAAACTAGAATGAATCATTGTTGTGTGCTCTTGCACACCAATTATTTAAGATACATTATTTATTTTTATATTCTTTAACCTTTCGTCTTCCTATAGCTCCTGTTTTTGGACACTTATGATTGCAAAAAACGTATGCTGCTGTTGTAATTCATTACTGTTTGAACTTCTCTACTGAGAAATAGTTTCTTTCGTTACATTTGACTTCAAAACAAAAATATTTTTCATTTATTTAATATCATAATTAATATATTAACGCATATAGGAACGCAAACGTAATCCTCGACCACGTGGTCGTGTAATGAAATGTGAAGAGGGTGCGTAGTGTGGTGGCTCCGTACCGAAATGTGTATCGCCAGACATAGTACGGTAATGAGGTGGTCCTTCGTTCCATGAGGGTGAACCAGTGCGAATTAATTTAGTTTTTCTAGAATGATTTAAAATTGTATTGTATAGGACATTTAATTGAATTAGAATAATTTGAATTTGCTTACCTGAATGCTGCTGAGGATAAAATGCGAGAGCCACGATTTCTGCCAACTCGTGAGCCACGCATTAATGGTGGTATTTTGTTGTAACCAGTTGGACCTGTTGGCTGTGCTCCACACGTTTCCAATGCTAAGAAATCATCAACATGCAATGAAGGTGGCCTTGAAGTGTTTGGCGGACGTGAGCGAAAGAGATCGCCACGTGTAGGTGGTGCGCGCGCAAAACCACGTCCACGTACTGGTGTCACATAAATCTTTTTCTCAACACGACCGGTGCTTGGTTCCACTTCGACACGCCGTGTGCGGAAGCAAGGAGCAGTTGGCGTACGTTCGCGATTAGATTGTGGTGAGGCGGATAAGTGTAGTATACGCTTGCAATCTGTTGTTAAATTTGTTTCTGGTGGCAAACACGAATTTACCAATTCATTTAAATCACATGAAACCCTTTCGCTTTGTGTGCTGTATTCTTCGGCCGATAATTCATTCAGCTGTAATAGCTTCAACCAATAACGTGCTGTTAGTTGTTTCTCATCGAAGATCTCCGTCTCGTAAATTGTAAATGTTGGGCGTGCATCGTACTGAGTAACAATGCTCTCTGTTTGTGGTAACAATTGTTCAAGTATGGGTTTTTCGTCCTCTGTATCTAATGGTGTATCATCACAGCCTTCTAACTCATCAATTAATGATTTTAGATCTGAAAACAAATTGTCCATAGATTCTCTATTTTGTTGCTCCATTATAGTGACAATTTGTTGTAACAGATTTGTTTCGTTGCAATTCTTCTTGTAGCCAATTATTTGCATCAATTCCTTAGCTACGATTTTCAGAGTACGCGGAGGTACTGTGGCATCTGTGCCTGCAGTTTCTTCAATATGTGTAAGCGAACGTATGAGTAGCGCCAGAGATTCAATGTTTGAGTTGTAATTTCCACCTTCATTCAAGTCGATAATTTTTTTCATCCACTGCTGCACATCCGTTGACTTTTGTTTTAAAACCAACGCTAAATGATGGAATGTTATGCTGAAATTGTTAAACAAAAATGAATTTATTACACTGATTAACAAAGAATTTTACTTACTCATGCTCAGTTAAAATGACTAAATTGCGAACACCAGATGATGATACTTCGTGAGTTATATCGGTGTTAATAACATTCATTAGAATGCTTTCTGCAATTTGCGGTATTATTTCCTTTGGTGGAAGCGCAGAAGCCAAATTTAGTTCTGGTATTGAAGTGGAGTTCGGTGCTATTAAAGATATTTCAGAATCGAGATAACTTTCTAAGATACGATGGATATAAAGTTGACACTTGAATACAATTTCCACAGCCTCTGTATTCAAAAGCACAGCTTGAAGAACTTCCCACAACTTCCCGCTGAGTATAGACAATGCAGAACTTTTAAGTGTGGCATATGCGGACAGTCTGGAGAATATATTCAGCAGGCGCGCCAAATGCAGTGAAGGTGCATTCGAAGCATTACTCCACTCGTTGCATATTAAATCTGCAAATGTCTTTGAAATAAGCAATGTCATGTTTGGAGCTAAATCAGCCAATTGTACACAAACTCTCGTGAACAAATCTGTCAATTGCGGAAAAGATGAAGGCGCTAATGTTTCTATGAGCTTCGCAATTTGATGGCTTTGTGGATGCAGGTGAGCTGACCAAAGTTTTCGCTCTGTTATCAATCGTTGTGTTTGTAAGCGTGTCAACTGCATATCTGCATTCAGTGGTATGGGTAAAGGCAAGGGGAGCAGTTGCGTGAAAACGTGCAGACCTTTAAGCAAACAAAAATAAAATTTAATTTACAAATTACAAATTCCACTATGTTTTGTGTAATTTTTTTACCTGGTATAAAGGTTGAAGGACTCTCAATATTTTTAAGTATATCACGTATCATCTGTGTCCAAAGTGATTTATGTAGTGATTCTTCATCCTGCTCATTTGGCTGTGTATAGGCCAACAATATTTTGATGATCTCTTCTTTTGCTGATTCCACTTCAGCTTTTGCTGGACTGGCTGCAGGCATATAATGCATCAAAAAGTATGTTTTCATTAGATGATCTATTGCAGTCAAGTCCTTGAATTCAATATCACGACACTGTATAGCATAGCAGAGCATTTGGCGTAATATCTGTAGGGTTGGTAAAATAATTTGACAGCAATGTACGCTTTGTATAGTCATAAGCGCTGGTGCATGCAAGCCAGGCTGTTCAAAATAATTACACAGTTTTTCTAAAATTTGAAGCAACGTTTGCACGCCATCGGCTGCATAAAATTGTAGCGCGACAAATCGATGCTTTAGCTCTTCTGTTTCTGTGCTTTTAAGCCCTTTATGAATAGGGCCAATAGCTAGGTGACGGAATATACGTAAACCCATTATTAAATCACCAGGAAATGTTGTTATATATTCTAAAGATCTGGTAATCACTTCTACCAGTGGGGCTATGTCATCATAATCAAATATATTTATAGCTTCTAGAGGTTTCAAGTACACAAACATTTCCTGCAATACTGCAGATACTGATGGCTCGAAGGTTTCGTGATTTTTTGCCAAATCTAAAATGTTTCTTCCGTGCTCAATCAGATAATCCAAGTTTTCACAATAGCGCACACAACAGTCAACCAAATCAACAGCATAGCTTAAGACGGGACTTTTATATTTAGCAGGTGAGGTTAGTAAACGCTGAGATTGCAAACGTTGCTCCTTCTTAATTAATTCCATAAAAATGTGCAAGTTGTTATTTGCACCTAGCACATCGACCGTGTGTCTTCTACCACTTGAATTGCAGGTATGTGAATAAAGCGCATGCAAGTGAGTGGTTAATGGGATTGCATCATATGCGTTGGACGTAGCTAAAGACACAATAGCATCCAAATGGTAACGTGTTTGCACTTTATATGCCAGCTCGATGCCCAATACTTGTAAACGGTGCAGATTTTGTCTTTCTAGACTTTGTGCTGTATCTGATGTTTCCTCCAACTGACCTAAAGATTTATCTTCTGTTGTGTCATTTGTTTCCTCTATAACATTATCTGGTGATTGAACAAAGGTTTTAGTTGCATCTGCGCTTTCTATATCCGTACTTTCTTCTACTTTTATCTCCATTTTTTTAATCTTCACTGTAAATAAATAAATTTGAATTGTTAATATATTAATGGAAATGAAATTTAGTACATACCCTCATCTGTTATTATTTCCGGTGCTTCAGTTACTGGTACATCATCAATACCTAACAGTACGGCTATTAAAATCTGTGTCGTTTCGAAACAGTCATCCACAAAGTAATCCAAACCCACGTGACTTTTCAGCAACGCATCAATTAAATCTGTTATACGTAATAGTACCAACGGTTGCAAATCACTTGCGTTGCTTAGAAGCATCACTAATGTTTCTCCCAAGCCATATGCCTTAAAGAATCCTTGCAATGCATTAGCAAAATTACGTTGAGCTGTAGCATCAGTAATGATTTCAAATTTCTTTGAAACAGGCAAAAAACGTTTGGGTTGCTGGTAAGATAGTGAATTTTGATTAAGTGCGTCCAAGATTTGATCTATAGCAAATTCGATTTGCTGCTTTGGATCCAATGTTGTGCCATAGTATTTGAAATATTGCAGTGCTTCAATCAAATGAAGTTTCTTGATTATTGCTTGCAGTACAAATTTCGTTCGTGCTTCTTTTGCAAACTGAAGTGCCTTCACAACCAATTGATATCCATTTACTTTAGCATTAATGAAATGTTCTAAACCAATTCTTGTGTCCAATAATGCAGAAACTGATTTAAGTAGCATTAGTTTAATAGAAAGTGCCATATAATCTTTGTGGAAAAGTGTAAATAGCGCTTGGAACGGATCAAAAGCTTGTATTTTCAGAATATACTCTAGAAAGTCTGGAGAACCACCAAGTAATTCTGCAAGCCTAGCACCAATTTTAATATGTCTAATTTTAAGTGCCGGCTGTGGTTGTAAACAAGCTACATCAAAATCCAAACCAATTTGAAGCATAGTAAATGCCAGTGACAAATTTTTTGGTTCGCTTTCGAAAAAATGTTGCAGAACAAAGTTTCGACGCTTGTATTGCTGCGCCAAATATGAAAGTTGATTTATAATTTGTTCACTCAGAAACACAAAATTTTCTCGTTCCTCGACAGTAATTGTTTTACTCCTGAATTCATTGATATTGCATTTTGTTTGCAGCGCGACGTTTTTGAATAATAATTTCAGCCCTTCTATGTCTTTGCTACAGAATCCACTTAAATCGTTATTATGTTTAAGTATCGGCATTTTGAATGGGTCAAACTCGACAATTGCTGCTTCGGGTGTCGCAGCAGCGGCATCCAATTCCAACTCATATTCATCTACAACTGCAGGTTCAGCCACAGTGTTTGAATCGTCATCGCCAATAATTTCGTCATCACTTAAGATAGGTTCAAATTGTTCGGCAGTTGGACCTGAATTGCTTTCATCTTCAACATCTTGAGGTTCTGGTTCAGTATTGTCTAAAGACTCATTTGAACGCATATAAGAACGCGATTTAAGTAATTTATAATGCAAATCTTCATCAGCATATTCCATATTATCAGGTGAACGTGGTCTTAACGGTGAGTCTATAGAAGCAGGTGGAGTGCGTGGCCATTTATGCGCTTCTTCAGCATCTGAACGAGAACGCTCGGAGCGTTTGCGTCGAGAGTGTCTGGAATATTCAGGACTGCGTGACCAATTGCGGGCAGGTTTTTCACGTTCACGTTCGCGTTCACGATCACAGCGAGATCTACATGTGTAAATATATAATATAATATTTTTATTATTTAATATATATAAATTAATAACCTCATATAATCTCTGTCATTATTTTCTGAATGGGTTCTATTCCTTGAGGACAATGAACGCTCAGATGAATTTGATGTTTTACGTAAACGTCTGTCTCGTTCATCACCAGAATGATGATAATGTTCCCTCGGTAAACCATAATCGAGTTCCTCTGGTTCTAATTCACTAACACTTATCTTATGTGGATGTGCTAGTTCGGTAGGTAACGGCTCCTTCCATTCACTTTTAACTGGATTTTCTTGTACAGGTATATTACGCTCATCACTACTTATATTAGCTATATCATCTGTCATCTCACAATGTTGTGGTGGTGGACTTTGTATTTGTTCACTTATTGTATTGGTTAAGGAACCATAGATAGCTAAAGTTATAGTACTATACCAACCACGCAATACTAAACCATCAGTCAATATGTCGGTATTACACTCAAGATGTATGCAGTCATTTTGATTATACTGCAATTGACCTAAATTTTCAAATGCTGAAGCACCAGGCAAACCAAGATCGTTAACGAAAAATTCAATATCGAATGTGGATGGATTTGTAGCACCAAGACGTACGCCGCCTGGAAAGTCGGCTTGTACTCTTGCCCCAAGTGGTATTATTCTTACTTGCTTTATATAAACAGGTTTCGGGAATTGAACTAAATCCAAATTTATATCCTTTAAGTGAAGTAATGAGTAAACATTGATTTAAATTTGTATTACATATAATTTGATTAATATTTACCGTGTCAACTTCATGGGAAAAGGTGTCAAAAAATAGCAATTGAGCAGTATTGTCGTTCTCGGACATTTTGTTCACAAATTTTCACGCAATTTCAATGTTACACAACTTTATAATAAATAATATAATTAACCCATGTGAATTATTTATAAATCAAGGAATAAACAATAATTTAAAAATTGTAAACTTATGGAAAAGAACAAATGTAGTGAAAAGTGCTGTAGACGCGAATTTGTCGTAAGCCGAATGTATGGTTGCCAACATACAATATTTAATACAGCTGTGCGAATGTGTGCTAGATAACTAAACAGCTGATCCATTAAGGTTCATGTTTAACACTATATTTTCTTAATATTCCTTAAAAATACAAATTGCAAATGTGTATTAAAAATATTTGAAAATAACAGCAATTATTGAGTGATGACGTGTATATGTTTCAATACAAAATATTTTATTTAAGTTTGTGGTGTGTCAAAATAATTTAGGGATGATATATCAACATATTCGAAATAAGTATTTATTTAATTACAATAAATAAAACGCGTTTTATCTCTCAATTTCAAATTATTTAAAAACTATGCTATTTCATACATATAACACAAGTAAATTAGATCTTCTCTGCTAATTTTAATCAAATTATGCTAATTTATTAATTTTATAATATACTTTTTTAATAAATAAGTAAAATAAATAGATTTATTGCTATTAATTCACTTAGTCGCGAATTGATGTTTCCTACGGACTAGTCTAAGACTAGTTAAAATTTAACATTTGGCGTAGCATTTTGAATTTCAATATTGAAAACATTTGGCATTCACGATATGAAGTAATAATTTATGTAATCAAGTAACATGGTAACTGCGTAAACTGATATTTTAAATAAATACATTATATTTAAATAATATTTAATATAATTTGTAGTATATTAAATATATTGCTGCCACTGTTCACTCTCGCTATGTTTCTCGATTTTCGAAATCGTTATTCGAAATCTGGAACATTAATGAAGAAAATGTTAAATGCTTCATTTGTCTATAATTGTTTCGTGTGCATTACTTATGTATGGAGGTTATTTACAACCCTCCCAGTTAGTGAATTAATGACGGTTTATCAGAAATGAATATATACACAGATTTGATTGTCCAGAATATGCGACAGTATGTCAAAGACAAAGCGCTAAAATTATTTGATGCGGTGTTTGTTCACACTAATTCCGCTCTCCACTCTCCACTTTCCTTAATCAAAATCACTATATACGGAGATCCTGTTGCAAGTGGTCACATACATTATTAAATAAAGTTGCTTTAGACACTAACTTGCGTTTCATCAATCAAAGAAGTAAAATGATTAAATGATTTGTAAAGTATTTTTTACTCGATCTCTACACTAATCAGAACTTAACGAAATTGTTATATTCAAAAGCGAACATGTATTCTTTTTGAACTTATTCAGTAAAAAAAATATATGTATATTTTAGAGAAAAAATGAGAAGGTATACAAAAATTTTACCAAAATAAAGCCAGTGTAGACTGGGTCCAATCTAATTTTATTTATTTACGTATTCGAAAAATACAATTCGAAAAATACAAGAAAAATTCAATTGAATTTTGACATAATCAGCGAATTGCAACTAATAAATGTTTTTGTGATTTGAAAGAATTAAAGAAGTAAGCTATAAAAAAATTATAAAACTTTTAGAGCAAGTATATAAAACTCACAGTAGATTATGAAATTTCATAGTAAATAAAAACTTAACTTCTAGCAACAATGTGTTTGTTTTATTTTTAACCAATTAACGAAACGTTTCAACAATATTGAAAGAATATTTGGAAAGTTTTTTATTTATTTATTTTAACTGAGCTTTTTTTTGGAAATACTCTTTGCTAAAGATTAACATATTTCTTTTACAACACTTACTTTAGGTCCTAAGCTTCTTATCCATTAAACTTTTTCTGGTCTTGTATGAAAACATATTTTGCTACTGCAGTAATCAACTTGTCATTGGTGAGTAAAGTTGAAGTGGTGAGAATTTTTGGTAGAAGAAGTTTGAGTATTAACTAAAAGGAAGTAAAAAAATTCCAGTATAAAGCATAGTAGAAAAAGACCGGTCATTGTGTTGCTCTATTGCCTTTTGCGTAACAATTTATGTAAAAAAATTTCATTTTTATTATGTTAATTCTGCTATCCTCGTAAAATATTATTAAAATATTTATTGAGTATATTTAATTAATATTTTTGGAATTTTAATTTCAGTTCTAAATAATACGCATATATTAAAGTCTAGAAGATGTTCGTGGCACGTCGCACCGCACGCTTGTATCCAAGTGGAATTCAGTGAGTATATATTTTTAATATAGTATAATATATATAGTAATTAATTTATAATTTTTTACTAAGACTTTCCGTAACTTAACATTATTTTCTTAATAAGAACAATAAACTTTCACTTATTTGAACATGCGTTTAAATTTAATATTTTTTTGCTAATTATGCTTATTGTTGTTGTTTTGTTTAGTTGCTCTGCTTTTTGTTGTTGCTATTTAACATGAGATAAGATAAACAAAACGCCGTATAATTGATTTTCAAACAGAATTTTTAATTTTTTTTTTTGTGTTTGTGATTTGGATTTGTGTTATGCAATATTTAAATTAAGTATTTATTTATTTTTATTATATAATTTGTTGTTGTTTTAGATTGGCGAAGATGAGCAATAGCCAGTTGGGTGATTTGGGTAGCGGCGCAGGTAAGGGAGGCGGCGGTGGTGGCTCTATTCGTGAAGCTGGTGGCGCTTTCGGCAAATTGGAAGCCGCACGTGAAGAGGAATATTTCTACAAAAAGGTAAATTCAAATTAAAAATAATAACTAAGTTTTTAAAATATGATGTAATGATAACTGTTGTGTGTGTGTATATATACGTATACAAATGTATATATGTAAATACTTTTAATAAAAGTATCGATAGATTACCACATATGAGATGTTGCGGTAGGAACAAATGTTTAATCAGTCAAATAAAGAACTAACCAGTGATTAAAAACTTCATAATCATAATTATCATAATTATTCATATCATAATTATTCTAAAATTAATTTGTCATTTTAATATTTAATGAAAGTTTACCAATACTTACTTCGGTCCATCTAAATCTCTGACAAAAATTTAATTTTAAAATATCTTGCTTATAAATAGCTTTAGTTCAAAACAATCGAATGTAAAAAATGTTAAAAAAATTTAATGTATATAAGAATTTACAAATTGGAGATCTCTAAAATATTGAACAACCACTCATGAAGTTTAACTGCCATAGTAATGCTGGGAAATGTTACGTAACCGCGGTCATCTGCTAACCCTCAAACAGGAATATGCACTGAGGAATATGAATAACTGGAATTTAAATAACTGGAATTTAAATAAAGAGATGGAATATTAAAGAGGTAGTTGATTCAATCAATGTGTGGGGTGACATTGAAACTAGCATAGATCGAACTGAATGAATCTTGACACATATATGTTGCCTAGCCATAAAACAATACGATTCAAATTTGTATGAGTGCTGAGACAGATGAAAGCAAGGGCAACGCCATGAGACAAATAAGAACTCAAGAAAAAATCCCGTATAGTATACACTTATTGGAGTAGCAATAGTCTAAGGGAGCAAGGAACTGTATTATGCTCTAATTAAAGCGGTTATCATTGTATCATGAATACAATGATAACCATTGCGCCAATGGAGCTATTTCTCATATCGACAATACTGTCATGAACTCATCAATAACTATTACAATAACTTGAAGTTTTTCAGGTCACAGCAAAAACTTATAATTCCGCGTATGCCAATAAAGTACACGAGGCCTCTGTCACATCGACAGCCTTTGCACCAGTGCAACTATTCCCCATATTGATTGTAGATTGTTATGCATACATCTAAGTACGATTCTTCAAGATCGTACTTTAACGGCAATCTGTTATTAATCGGCCTTGCCCTGTTACCTGTAAAGAAGAAATAGTTGTTACTCGCTGGGACTTGCTTTTGAAGTCATTATGGGAGGTTTCGAACGGCACTTAAAACGAAATTCGACTCGTTCTGAAACGAAACTCGACAGCAGAATCTATTGTAACCGAAAGTATTCTCATGTCCTAAACATACTAGGCGGTTACTTGTTATGCATAAAATTGTATATTATTGATTTAAGCCTAACTTGTAGCTAATTTAGATGACGTCCACCTGTTTAATTCAGTCAAAGCACACACTTAACTCAATTCATATATGGGTTCACGTTGCCTTAGCAAAGTTCAATCTTCATAGTTTTATCCGCTCTTCTCTAAATTCATTCCATTCCAAATACTATCACTATTAACTTTAAGAGAGTATAAGCTTACTTTTTGTTTTTTCCGCTATCTGGTCATGGCGGGGTATTAAGACCCCGCAAAGTCATAACTTTTTAAGTTCAACTTTCTATTATTATTTCAACGCAAATTCATCCTTTAGCTTTTTGATATATTTTATAATAAATACGATCATTTATTTTTTTGTGTTAAATTAAATATAATAATATATTATTTATTCTTTTCAGCAAAAACAACAATTGGAACGTTTGAAGAACGATCAAATTCACCAGGCTGAATTCCATCATCAACAAATCAAGGAACACGAAGATGCCATTAAGCGTCATAAGGAATACCTTGACAATTTGAATAAGTAAAAGATGAGCTTTTTTCATACATTCGACTTAACTAATTCCAAAAGAGAAATAAGAAAATAATTGAAAAGTGAGACTTTTTGAATTCATCGCTTTTTTGCTGAAATAAAAGAAATAACTTTTTCACTTAACTTTAAATGCATTTGCACTGTTTTAGAAACATTGTTTATATGAAATATTAAATAAAATAAATATATAAAATAACTTTTATACATTTTAATCGGCAAAGTTATAGTTGAGTAGTTTAAACATGATTTTATAAGTTATAAATGATAAATTATGTACAAAATCAGGAATAGACTTATAATACTTATAAGCAAATTAAAGGAGTTATAAGTTGGGTCACTTTCACTTGAAGTCGTGTCTTTAAGTCTTGTTTCTACGCTAATCACAGCGGTCCTTTTGAGTGAACAACGCTGAATGGGCCATTATTTGAGCTCAAGTGGGCTTTAGTGTGTAAGACTGACACTCCAACCTAACCTAATCGAACGATTTTTCAGGTTGATCATACAACTGTTCCGGATCTATGGACTTTGTGAAATCACACGGGCCATTAATAAGGCCAAGGTGAGCTTTTGTACACAACACTGCCAGTACATATGTATCCATATACATATATTCCACATATATGTTAAAATTAACTACTATAAATTCAAAAAATACGAGTTTATTTACTACATATAATGTCAAAAATAATTCTTGAAGATGAATATAGGACCTTTTATGTATTATATATTTGAATCAAATTTATATATATTGTCCACATTTGAGATATATTAATTTAAATATATTTTTAAATAATATATTTAAATGATTTTATACATAAATAAAACACAAAAAACAAAGATGTCACCAAGGGGTATATATTTAAACTTAATCCATAAGGTAATTATTTGGCAGAAATCAGATGTCTTTGTTTTTTGCTATATATTTAAATATAAACGAAAACAAAATTTTGTTTATGTTTAAAAAAAATTATTTATAAATAAAAATTTTGGAAGCAAAATTTTTACTTGCATTTTGGCAGATGACAATGCGAAATAATTTATATTAATAATAATGATCGAAATGACGTGTATTGAAATGTGAAAATATAAAAAAAACAAATATGAAAGAGTTATATATAATATTAAGAGTAGAAATAAATAAATAAATACATTTTCTGAATAGTAATCTGAAGCAGAGTACAGTGTATTTGCAGTGTATTTCAATGTGGCATCTGTAAATGAAAGCGGAGTAAATATCGCTGCTTTAGAAGAAGAATTGGATGATTACAAAAACGACGTATGTCTGAAAAGTTCTAGAGAGGAAAATAAATTGTTTACCGCAAGCAAGCGCCGATAATATATCAGTTAGCATTTTTATATATATGAAATCCATATGCTCTTAATAGTTTCAGTGGGAACATATCTGCATGTCCTATGAAAAAAAGATATTTCATACTTTCTTTAAATGTTTAGTTTCTTATGTTAGATGTATATTGATCATTTGAATATATTTTTGTATGATAAATAAAAACTGGGAACTTACCATATTGCATGGTTATGACAGATGTTAATTTATGAAAGTGTGGGTTTAACAGAGCTTTCACTCTATACCTTTAACACGGAATTCCTTTTGCAGTGAAATAAAATAAATAGAAATTTTAATAAAATCCTAAGTAAAAGGTATGACAACTGCTGTTGATGAAGTAAACAATTTATTTATAGGGAGAATGGACACTATGTATTTATTAAACTTCGATAATAAAATATTTTAAATTAATATAATTAATATTAAAATAGCTTTATCACATACTTGCCAACGTTGTAGAGAATGCCCTAGTGCTCATAAATTGATTATCTTAAAAATATCTGAAGAAAAGAGCGATTTCTCAAACATATCTAAAAAGCCAGGTTTAGAATAATATAATATATACGCTACAATTGACGTTACAGTAGAAATTTTTATTTTCTTGATTATTTTTTGTATAAGTTTTATGTGTTATATTATATATATGATTAAGGAACAGTACTTTCATTTAGTCTAACTTTGTTATATATTGACATCTAAAAGACTTTGTAAAAAATATGTTCTCTGTTGTACAATTGTCTAGTTCATAAAATTAAATATCCCCTTCAGGGATACAACCACGACAAATGTTATTATAGGGTAGACCCAGTGTTATAGCATGTCTTCCTAGTACACAATAAGTTGTCGGCATCAATACTATAGTGCTAAGCAGATTCTGTTTAAGTATAGCCTAAGTGTAAACACTCACATTTAATTGCACAATTAAGTTTTAATAATTGTGAAGTGTGAACATAGTATTACTTAACTGATATAAATTGAAGTTTATTGCGTTTATCTCAAGTATTGATATTATATTTAGACTTTTGTGTCTTGTTATGCAACTAAACAGACACGCATACACACTCTCACTGAATTACCTGAATCATAAGGGAATACTGACCTTAATAGCTCAAGAAAAGCATAAGTATTTACACTGTAACTTACAAACTTAATGAGCAGTGAAACTAAACAACAAAAAGTAAATATCGTCCTGATGATATCCTGATGATTCCGAAAATGGTTTTAGTATGATTATTTAAACATAAATTGAAAATGTATAACCGTTAAAACGGGTTGATTGCCAGTTAAAAGAAAAATCAAAATTTCTTGATTCTGTGATACGTCATTTTAATTTTGTTATTCTATATAAAAAATATGTGTTGTCGATAGATAACTTTTCTATTTAAATATGTGATAATAATTTACTGTTGTCAATATAATTTAGTTTTATAAGGAAATATATGACGTAGTTATTGGTTTATGAAATTAATTTTTTATGTATATAAATTTAAAAAAAAACAATATTTGTTTATATTTATTTCTTGAAAATTTTACTTCGGTGGTTTACCGTAACGTTAAAAAAATCTTATCAGTTCACAGTTTATTGTTTATTTTTTTTTTTTTATGACGAAATGGATTCCCCTTTAAGCATCTTTTTGTGCTATAAAACGCAGTGCTTGAGCAAACTTAAGTCAGAAATAAATTAACACTCATAGCCACGAATTAAAAATTTGTTAAATTGAATATTTAAAATGAAATTATTCGTAATTTTGGGATTTGTCTTGGCAGTATTAGCAGTTTTTGGTACAACAGTCACAGCTTCAAGGGACTCGAGACCGGTACGTCCAAGCATAAGCGCGCCGCCACCACGCAAAGAACGTCCAATCATCTATGATTCACCAGTACGAAAACCTAATCCAAATAGAATGTATGCTTAGTACAATGCTCTATATATGTATATATAATATAAACTGTAATATATATAATGTAAAATATAATAAAAGTAATATAATTATATAAGAAAAAATTAATCAAATTTTGTTTGAAAAAAATTGAAAGTCTAGCCATTGAGTTTTCAGCTCTGATAGGTGAGCTGTTTTATTTTTTTTTTCGAAAAAATTTTGATGTATATAGTAACCATTGACAATTTGTAAATTTAAACAAAATGTTAAGATGTATCAATATATTTTTTTTATTAACAAATAGTTTAGAATTCAAATAAAAATTTTCGTTATAATTCGTTGGTGTGAATCGCATTAAGTCTTAAAATTTCCCGAAAATGAGTTTCATTAGCCGTCAGGTTACACGCCTTTTTGTTTCGTTTAAGACGTTACCAAAATTTTATGCGTCTAGTCCTTTTGCGTAAGTGAATTATTTAATAAATTAATTGTTAATTAAATCAACTTAAAAAAAATTTTACAGCCGTATGTCCACTGCTGATAAGGTTAAGCAAGCTAAAAATGCAATTAATGTACTTAAGCAGGTAAGATAAAATAATTAATTCGCAAATAATTAACTCAATAAGATCAAACAATATTTAACTTTTCAATTAATTTACTAATAATTTCATATTTTATAATTTTGGACTAAAGCTGATGGGAAGGTATTCAGTCAGTCACTGTTATATTATCCATATAGGTCCCAAATCCAAAACTGTGTTCACATTGCACATTCCATTCATATTTATTCATAATCTCAACTTCCTTATAGACAATAAAATATTCTTAATATATATTTAATATATAATTGGTATTGGGTATTAGATATAATTTAGTCAGTATTTTCTATATCAACCATATATGTCCCAAATCCAAAACTGTGATCTTTTTGCACAAACTAAAGGTGCTGCTTAACATCGATGAAAATGAAAAGAATTCGCTTAGGTTTCACATAGTTGAAGCATAGTTCTCCAAATGTTGAAGTATCATCCTGCATTTGTCTATAATTTTTGATCTCTTATACCCATTCCATTTCTGATACGACTTTTTTATAAAAGCAGCAATGAAAAAGTTTTGTGCCTAATACATTATTGTACAAATTAGACCTCAGATGAAATGAAAATTTGCTTTTGATATTAGATTTCCTTTTTTAATAAGTAATTAATCTTCTTTATTCATTTTTAGCAACGTAGTGACTTATTGGCTTTAAAAGAAAA